AGGACCACCTCTCCACCAAGCGTGTTCAATAAGTGAGACAGCTCAATCGCCACCAGCGGATGTTAGCTACATGTTTATATACATGCTGCGGCTCTTGTTGAAGAAGTGCATGGCGCCCGCGCCCCCCCCTCTTTCATTATTTCGTTCGCCGCCTCCACCAATTTTTGCGCGCAGTCCTTCCCTTCCACTCAGCCTCATCCTTACTTCGCCCTCCTCCCCCTGGGCGGTGGGCTGGGCGGCCTTCTCCAGAGGGGTCGTCGGTGTTCCCAGGCTCGAAGCGGCCCCTCCCCACTGTTGGCCGCGAACTTTCTTTGGGTTTTTCTCATCCCCCTCCCCAGAGATGGAGCGTTTGCCTTCTTTGCGAGTAACTGCGGGGGGGCCCTATGCCCCTTCCTCGTCGGCCCTTGGTCGTCTTCTACCATCCTGGCAGGTGGTTGCTGCTAATGCTGCTGCCTCCCCTGTTCCTTACCATCCGCTACAGTCCTGGGAGCGTTGCGGCCGCAGGTGCGGATGCCCCCCCGCCGCTTCCCCCCACTCGGCATCGTCTCTCCTGGTGGGATCCGCCTGTGCGGGTGCCTCCACCCCACCGCCCTTCCTCCGCGGAGTCGCTCCTCGTTGGTTCCCTGAGTTCCTGGCGTCTCGAGCCGGGCGTTTTCGCATAATGGCGGGCCCTGGAACCCTCACGGATCGATCCGGCTCGAAAAATGGCGCAGAAAGATTGGGTCTAAAATTCTGGTTGTGAATTTTCAGGATGTTGTATTTTTTCGCTACCTCGGATGTCAGGGTTGTTGACGGCCAGGTGCGTCTGGGTCATGACTTTCCTAGATTTGCTTGGGCGCGTGCTGGCAGACATCTTCCCGAACGCTCCTTCTGCGACTGCATCGTTCGGACTATTTCGGACTATTCGTTTCAACTCTCTGCCTCAGCCCTTTCATCCTCCATCATCCCGTTTTCTCGTGGGTAACTCCCTGAAGCACCTTCATACGTGTCGGTGGGGCGGGCCCGGCGTACCTGGGATCCAGAGCTTTGAAGTATGCAACAGTTGTGCGGATGGATGGGGGGTGGGGCCGGCGGTTCTCGTCTTGGCACCGCGTGTGCATAACGGTGGAAGGAGGGTCCAAATGTGGTGTGGTTGTCTCCTCAGCGCCCTCACATTCAGCGCATAAGTCTGCAACAGTCACACGGACGGTGGGTGTGGAGGGGGGGGGGCAAATGCAGGCCTCGCTTTTGCGCAGCGAGCATTCGCTTAAAGGTTGCAAGAGCTACACGGATGGAGGGGGGGCTTTTTCAACAGAGGGTTCCCGCCCCGGCGTCGCGCGCATTCGTTTCAAGAGTGCAGCAGCCGCTCGCGTGGGGCGCGGCTGCGGTTCGAGGCCGGCTCTCGCTCTAGCGGGAGGAGGAGGAGGAGGAGGAGGATGAGGAGGTGGGAGGAGGAGGAGGAGGAGGAGGAGGAGGAGGCGGAGGAGGGAGGAGGAGGATGAGGAGGTGGGAGGAGGAGGAGGAGGAGGTTGGAGGAGGAGGAGGATGAGGAGCCGCGCACATTAGGTTCGAATGTTCGCAGCGATTGGGACGGACGGGTGGAGCGCAGCTCCGGCTCCTGTTCGAAACTGGGCTCTCGCCTCAGCGCCGCGCACATTCGTTTTGGATTTTCACAGCGGTTGGGGCTTTTTTCGGCTTAGAATCGGCGTCACCCCAAAATACTGATACTCTGTGCGTGCGTCGCCTCCCCAGGGGCGACGCGCGCACCGAACAATCTTATAGTATAGTATATGCGTCGTGGCGGGCGCTTTCTGGCCACGCCGCTCGGGATACGATTTACTACAAGATGGTATACTGCATGTTCGAGTCGGACGCGCGCCTCCAGTGAGGACATGCAGTATTAATATGTCTTTGTGCGTCTCATAGAAGGTTAGAGACCTGACCATGCGCAGCGGTTGGGACGGCTCCTTCGCAAAACTGGGCTCTCGCGTGGGATCTCCTTCAGCTCAGGAAGGTGAGAAAAAAGTGGGTGCTCGCCCTCCCACCTCCCTCCCCGCCGCCGCCGCCGCCGTCGTCGTCGTCTTCGTCGTCGTCGTCTTTGTCGCCGTCGTCTTTATCGACGTTGTCGTCGTCGTCTTTGTCGACGTCGTCGTCGTTGTCGCCGACGACTGCCGCCGCCCAATGCGCAGGGGCTGCTCCGAAGAAGGGGCGGCTCTCTTCTCGAGAAACGGGGGGCTCTCGATCGGGTCTGCCTCGACGGTGGTGGCCAGAGACGTGAACTTGTGCGACAGGTGCCCACTGGTCGTTGAAAGTGGGTATTTTTGGATTGCCCCATTCCAATCTACTTCGGGCACCCTCCTACTTTGATTATCGAGTGGCTTGACCTCTTCCGTCCTCCTCAGGGGACGGGCGGACACCCAATCTATGTTCAACGCTTTCCTGCTTGATGGCTCGACCTACGCCTTCTGACCGATGCGTACATAGATGACCTCGAAGGGTCTTTAGTTTGATCCCCCCCCTGTTTCTCTTGGCCGGGAACAAACTCGATCCTCCTCCTCCTGTTTCTCCTCCTGCTCCCACTCCTGCTCCTCCCCCTCCTCCTCTTAAGGTGGGGGCTCTCGATTGAGTCTTCCTCGATGGTAGTGGCCAGAAGTGTGACCTCGTGCGACATGTACACAGACAGGGGCGGCAGTTTTTCAATCAAGGAATTCCGTTTACCAACACGCTGAGCCGTGTGATCATATTTGTTCCGCCTTCCTTGCCATTCGCTAGAAGGATTTAGGGCATTTACAGTGGGGGCCCATGCCAAGACACACCTTGCTTGCCTCCAGGGTGCCTAGGGTTTCTTGGGTTCCGATGGTTTTGCCGAGGAAAGCGCGACGTTCCCACACCTAACATCCATGGACGTCCTGGGATCTCAGGGTTGGGTTTCTTGTGGAAGGTTCCTTGTGGACTGACCTCCACTGTACCTGTTGCCCCTTTTCTGCTACTCGCTAGAAGGATGCATGGCATTTATTTGTCAGAACGGATCTGTCGCATGAGTTGCGGGCCCATGGGGCCTGTTGAGCGAGTCTTTCTAGGACGGCGCTTCTGGCAGTGAAGGGGAAGCTTGTATGGACTTAGGAGGAGGAGGAGGCTTTGGATGGGAGTGCGCAGCATCGTTGATGCACATTGGGTTCCTCTTGTTATTATTCCTAGTATGTCTACCTCTCAGCATCGTCCTGGTGTTTTCAGATGTGTCAGCTCTCCAGACACCGATGTGATCTGTTACCCATGTGCGCGTGGAAAAGGAGGAGAAGAACATGGTCTTCGATGCCATATTGCCTGATGTCGGCAAGCTGGCCAGCGATTCGTTCGCTCACTTTGTTGTTCAGAAGCTGTTCGAGGTTGGCACCACAGGCGACGCGCAGTAATTGCAGGGGGATGCCGGTGTGCGTGATGGAAGGCGAACGGGGAGGTGGGAGGGGACCAGAGGGTAAGGACTAGGGGTATGGGAACAGGGGGGGAGGATAAGGAGGAGGGCTCCATCACTTCGGGGCTGGGCAACCGCGTGCGAAGGCTCCTAAGGAGGAGAGGATGGAACGACCGAGACGAGGATCGGAGAAGGACAAGCTGCATGAGCATAAGCTTTCGGAGATCCACGCGGAGTTCTTGGATCGGCGCTGGAGCCCCTCTGGCGGCGCTTCCAGCGCCACCCCTGGCGCGCTCCGCGCGCCAGGGAGGGGGGGTTCAGCCACGATCCAAGAAATCCGCGCGAAGCTCCGACAGTTTTTGTTTGTGCCGCTCCCTTCCTCTTCGAGAGTACAGTGGGGGCCCATGCCAAGAAGCACCCTGCCTGCCTCCAGGGTGCCCTGGGCTTCTTGGGCTTCGATGTTTCTGCCATGGACAGCGCGATGCTCCCACACCAAAGGATCGATGGACGTCCTCGGGCCTCAGGGCCCGCCTCCTCTTCCTCCTGATCTATCTTGATTGCTCCGTTCAAACGGGTGCCCCCCGTTTCAGAGGGGTGCCTCCCCCGTAGTGGAAAGGACCCACTCTGGGGGATTCTGGGGGCATGAGGTGGGATCCTCGATCTACTCTGGCCCTTCTCCTCCTGCTCCCTGGGTTTCTTGCCGTGGAGGGACCCGGCCTCGGCCAGGAGGAGTGCACACCGTGGGGGCCTCCCTCCCTCCCTCCCTCCCCTCCCTCCCTCCCTCCCTCCTCCTCCTCCTCCTCCTCCTCCTCCTCCTCCTCCTCCTCCTCCTCCTCCTCCTCAGGGGGAGGAGGACGGGAGGAGTGGGCACAAGGGAGGGGGTGACGTTGACGGCGCGGTTGACAGGGGGGAGTTGGGGGGAGGAGGCGGAGGAGGTGAAGTGGGACGAGCGGTGAGTCGGAGTGGAGTGCCCCGCTGCCCCACCTCTTGCACCTCCCCCTCCTCCCCCGGAGGGCCGTGGCCAGGCACGGTGGTGTGCAGATGGCTTCTCCGTGTGGCCTCGGCGTTGGGTCGGTGACCTCACCCTTGCCTGAAGTCGGGCCTGTCCCTCTACAGGAGGTATATCCAAAAATAGCCAACACATTGTCTGGGGACGATGTTTTGATTCGCTTTGCTTATGCCAGGGGGCATGTTTTGACTACTTCTTACTTTTCGTACACAGTCCGCCTGTAGGAGAACATGCCCGACCTAGCCCTTGCCGTCGCCGTCTTCGCCCGTGCCCCTGTCTGCGAGGGGGGGCGGGGCGGGGCGGCAGGACGCAGAGCCCGAGGGAGGCACGCCAGCAGGATGCGCTCTGCAGGCGCAGGGCGCGCCCTAGGCGGGCACGCCCCTCTACAGGAGGAATGTTCAGAGACGGTCCAAACATAGTCTGGGGACGATGTTTAATCACTTCTTCGGAATCTGTTATCACTATGTTCCCATATTTCGTCGAACATCCGCCTGTAGGAGGACATGCCCGACCTCAGCCCTCGCCATTCGTCCGCGCCGCTGCCCGTGCCACTACACGGCGAGGGCGCGTCACAGGTACGACGCGCCGAGGGAGGCAAGCGGAAACGCACGCCGCCACCTCGCCACTGGCGATGGGGGAGCCACGAGCAGGACGCGTCGAGGGAGGAGGCGGGAGCACACGCCGCCACCTCGCCACGGGTCGCCATCTTTCAGGCGGGGCTCTATTTTGACCGCTTGGGGATCGGTCCTCGGTAGGGACGGCCGCAAACGGGTCGGTTCGATTGCGTCGGTGTCGGTCGGAATCGATCGATTCGGTCGGTTCGGCTGTTGCGGAGTCCCTGCGTCGTCGCGTCCTCTTCGGTAACTTCGGTTGATTCGGTTTCGCCGCGTGCGCCTCGCGGGTGCTTCGTACCGGCCTGGGGGAGCGAATCCACCAGTTTCCACTTCGGCTTCGGTTCCCACGGATTCTGACCGATCCGACTCCGCTTAGCTTTTCCTTTTGAAGAGGAAGAGGAGGAGGAAGAGGAGGAGGAGGAGGACGAGGAAGAGGAAGAGGAGGAGGAGGAGCAGCAGCAGCAGCAGCAGCAGCAGGAGCAGGAGCAAGGAGGGAGGAGGGTGGCCAGACGAGGGAGCCAGGGCCGCCCTGGAACGGCCTAAAGGACAGTGGAAACGCCCAAATCGCATTCCTGTGGGTTCAAATGCATTCGGGCCCTCCTAGGGGCTTGCGGCGGATCCTCACGACAAGGGAGGGAGGAGAGAGCAGGGAGGAATGAACAACGAGGAGGACGGAGGGTGGATCCGACGACGTCAGGCGCCGAAGGGACTCCGGATTTCTCGACCCCTTCCCCCGTTCGTGTGTTTATCTGTAAGGGCTTCGCCCCATGCCGCAGGCCCCCTGTCTCGGATAATTGAAGATGCAAAAGCTAAATCATGAGGTCTGGGCGCCGCCGTGAAGCAGTGTCGGGACCTGTTTGTTTGTCGACCCTGACCCCGCGGATCTGCGTCACGGGTGCCACCGAATTTCAGAAATGTAGCAAATCCCTTGTGTTTTTGGACCCTGACCCTACGGATCTGCGTCGGGGGGCACCGAATGTCAGACATGTGGCCTATCTTTTATGTTTTTGGACCCTGACCCCGCCGATCTGCGTGAAGGGTGCCACCGAATTTCAGAAATGTGGCAAATCCTTTATGTTTTTGGACCTTGACCCCGCCGATCTGCGTGAGGGGTGCCACCGAATTTCAGAAATGTGGCGTTTACTGCTTGTGTTTTTAGACCCTGACCCCGCCGATCTGCGTGAGGCATGCCACCGAACTTCAGAAATTTGGCGAATCCCTTATGTTTTTGGACCCTGACCCCGCCGATCTGCGTGAGGGGTGCCACCGAATTTCAGAAATGTGGCAAATCCTTAGTGTTTGTTTACCCTGACCCCGCCGATCTGCGTGAGGGGTGCCACCGAATGTCAGAAATGTGGCAAATCCCATGTGTTGTTGGACCCTGACCCCGTCGATCTGCGTGAGGGGTGCCACCGAATTTCAGAAATGTGACAAATCCTTTATGTTTTTGGACCCTGACCCCGCCGATCTGCGTGAAGGGTGCCACCGTTTTTTTAGAAATGTGGCGTATATTGTTTGTGTTTTTAGACCCAGACCCCGCCGATCTGCGTGAGGGGTGTCAATTTCTACCGACCCCAGCAATTCAGAGCATACGCTCAGGGCGTTGTATAAAATACCGCTTGCTCCAGGCACGTATGCCGTCTCTGCGATTGCCTGAGCGCATTCAGACTGACCGCCTGCACACGTACACGTGTGGCGCGTGTGTCTCGCCGATGATGATGCGTGTGCGCTTCTCTCTCTCTCTCTCTCTCTCTCTCTCCCTCTCATCTTCCCAAAGGTGTCGCACAGGGGAGCGTGATTGGCCAGGCCCCAGTTCTCGGCCTCCCAGATGGGGTCCGAGCAGATGGGGCCGGAGGATCGCGCCGCACCGCCGATGCATCGACGATGCGGCTCGATGTGGAGCGTTTCTCCACGCCGACATCGCCAGTGCATCCCCGACGTCGCCGATGAATCGGCGATGCACTGGCGATGCGGCGCGATCCTTCGACCTCATCTTCTCGGACCCCCTCTGGGAGACCTCCTACCAGTGACGGCATGAAAGCCTCGCCTGGCGAGGGCGGCGCGTTCGAAGCCGATTCCCGCCTGCAGCCAAGCATGAGTGTGCTGAGTCAGACACTCCTGCTCGGTCACGCGCAGAGGGGGGCTAGGGGAAGGGGGGGAGGCTTCTTCGAAGCGCCCTGCTTCTTAGAAGGCGCGGGCGCCCCTCCTAAGATGCTTGTGGCTGCTTCTTAGAAGTTGTTCCTGGCGTGCTTCCGAGAAGCAGGTGGCTTGCTTCTAAGGAGCTGTTGTTGCTTCTAAGAAGCCGTTCCGTGATTCTAAGATATTGTTGGGGTGTTTCTAAGAAGCGTCGCGCCCCTGGCTTCTCAGAAGGGCGGCCAGCGCCTTCTAAGAGGCAGCCGCCTTCTAAGTAGCCTTCCCCTCTCCCCATGCCCCCTTGCCTGCGCCGCCAACCTGCATCTGTCGTTGGACATTGTTGCATCCTCCTCCCGCATGTCGCTTTCTCCCTCTTGCCACCTGCTGTCGTGGATGCAACTCTTGGAAGGTTATCAGCATCGGCGCTGGTATACCCATGGTCGACAGCTGGCCTGATCCAGCATAAAGCCCCGTTACATTTCGCTGAGTCCCGTTTCGGTTGGCTCAATCCCAGTCTTAGTTTGGGCCAGCCTGGCTCGATGGCCCCTCACGCCGCTTTAAAGGTCCTCAATCCTTCTGACGGAAATATCCCACGAGTTGCCCCATATTAAGGGGGAGCGAGGATCTTGGACTAGATGGAGCAGTGGCTGGTCTGGACTGGATGGAGCATGATCCCGCTCGGTTCTTCTTGATGGCGACGCGGTGCAGGCAACACGGAAAGAATAGGTAAGAAGAAGGACAAGCAACGAATCCATGCGGCGGGGAGGGCGCATGGCAGAGGAGTCCCGCATCCTCATGACCGCTGCCACTGCCGAGCCCAACGGCCGTGCTTCCTGCCTGCCACGTGCGTGTGGCCGAGCACCTCCTTGCTGGGTTCGTGGCAGGGCTGGACCTAAACGCTGTTCTGCTGGACTTCGGCTGCGTTTTGTTCGTCGTTTTGGGATAGATGCGCATGCAGGAAGACAGGTAGAGCAAAACGAACAAAACCAAGCCAACATGAAAGACAACGTTTCGGTCCAGCCCTGGTTCGTGGTCCTCGCCTGGCGATGCCTACGTCCTCCCGCTCATGTAATGAGACCAAGTGATTAAGGCATGCCCGAGGGGGTGCGCATATCCCCACTTGGAAACGGACGATTGAAGCGGTGTTTCCGATTCGTCGTCGTCGCCGTCGAGGCCACCAGGCCGCAACCTGCGACCCAGACGAGGAACAATTATTTCGAAGAGGAGGAGGAGGAGGAGGAGGAGGAGGAGGAGGAGGAGGAGGAGGAGGAGGAGGAGGAGGAGGGGGAGGGGGAGGGGGAGGGGGAGGGGCAGGGTTGAGCCGCCATACCCCCCGCAGCGCGGTGCGAACCGCTTCCCACCTGCCCCACGTCCATTACTTGTGCGGTCTGGCGATAGCCCGGGCCCTCGCCCGCGCGCGTCGCGCGCGCCGTCGGTGCGGCGGCGCTCACAGGCACGGAGATGTTCATAGGCGCGGTGATGTTCACAGGTTCCGCAGGAGGCTTCTGTGTCCCCACCATGCCTTGCCAGGGCCGCCCAGGCTGGTGCACAGACCCTCTTGGCCTCGGCCAGGAGTCCAGGAGGCACATACGCCATGCCAGGGCCCAGGATGGCCCCAGCGGTGGCGTGTATGAGCCCTCTGCGCAGGCGGTGCTCCCAGTTTGTCGACCCGCACCACCTCGGCGTTGTGCCCCTCGCGGGCCGGGGGGCCCTCCTCCTCCTCCTCCTCCTCCTCCTCCTCCTCCTCGGCTCCCGCCCGCCACATCAGTCGAGCCAGGCCTCGCTCGCTTGCTAGCAGTGGCGCGCCGAAGAGGAGATGTACTGATAAGCGGCCCGCCCGCTCTCCTCCTCCTCCTCCTCCTGCGCCTCCTCCGCCTCCGCCTCCGCCTCCGCCTCCTCTCCCACCGCCCAGAGCAGAAAGAAGCGCTGGTTCTCAAGCTGAAGGACGACATCCTGAGGCTCTGCAAGGAGAGCCCTGCCGCCCCGGGGGCACGGGCCGGCAGTGAGAGGGGCTTCCTGGGCGAGTGGCAGCCAGAGATCGAGCAGTGGCGAAGCGTCCCGGCTTGCCTATGGGCCCACCAAAGAATGTTCTAAGAACCTTGTGTGGTCTGCACAAAATGCTCTTAGGACATTTCTGGCCGAGACTGTCGTGTTTTCACGCATCGGGCTCATGTTTTAAGACCATTGCTTTTGTGATTCGAACAGTCTGCGGTTCTGGGAGCATCTCGTGGTAAGCCTATAGGAATGCGGGGACGGTCGGTCCCTGCTCAAAGATGGGAGTTGCAGCAGGAGAATCGAAGAAGAACAACACACATACGCATAAACTTTTGGATCCGCGCTGGGCCCCCGGCGGCGCCTCTGGCGCCGCCTCTGGCGCGCTCCGCGCGCCAGGGAGGGGGGTCCCAGCGCGAATCCGAGAAACCCGCGCGGAGCGCCACAGGTTTGTGATCATGCGGTTCTTCCCTTCTTCTGGAGACGCCAGGAGGAGGAGGAGGAGGAGGAGGAGGAGGAGGAGGAGGAGGAGGAGCTGGGACTGGGGGCCGGCGCGTGGCGCCCGGCCCCAGCCGGCGCACCATCGGACCCCGACGCCCTCCATGGGGGCCTCCACCCTGGCCCGCGTCGGTCGAGGCGGGGCCCGCCGCGGCGGCGAGGGGCCTCCCAGGGGGGGAGGCCCGAGAAGCTGTCCCGGCCGGCCCGGCTCCCCCAGGGTCCATCGGGGGCGGCAAAGAGGGGGGTGATGACTAGGGGGGGGTGGATATCATGGCGAGGGCCATGATATTTCCCGAGATTTCATGGCGCCTCTTCTTACTTCATTACGTCCCTGGCCCCCCCGCTGGGCCGCGCACATGCCGCCGGTCATGATTTGCACCCCCCCCTCTTGGACACCCCCCTCTTGACCGCTCCCGAGGTTCATCGGGGGCGGCAAAGAGGGGGGTGATGATCAGGGGGGCGCCAAAGAGGTGGTGGTCCCCAAACGCGGTGGTGAGAGCACCCGGTGGTGAGTCTGGGGCGATTTGGGTAATGGTTTTCGAGCGCTGGCTGGCCCAGGAAATGCAAAACCTCGTGGCGACCGCGTGTCCCCCAACCCGGTGGTGACCCAGAAGTATTTTTCTTTGGGGAATCGGGGTCACCACCGGGTGTCTCACCACCTGGTTTGGAGACCACCAAAAGAGGGAGGAACATTCAAAGTACAGGGGCACTTGTCTTAGATCATTTGATGCATATTTTGAAACAGGTTTGGCGTATTCTTACTTTTTCGCCCAAGCTCCCCCTGTAGGGCGGCACGCCCGACCAGAGCTTTTGGGCCACCCGAAGTCACGAAGTGCAAGATCGTGTGAGGGCAGCGGCCCTTTGCGCGCCGCCCTTCGCGGGTCGGCCGGCGGCCGCGCATCCGCATCCGCACCCGCACACCTTGCAAGTATACATATAGATATACATACATATATATATGTATATATATATGTATATATATATACATATATATACGTGGCTATCCAGGGCGATGGGGGGGGCGGCCAAGACGGGGGGTGATGATTAGAGAGGGGATGGGTATCATGGCGTGTGCCATGATGCCTCCCCAGACCTCAAGGCGCCGCTTCTTATTTTCGTGACGTCCCTGGCCCTCCCCCCCCTGGGCCGCGCACATGCCGCCGGCCATGATTTGCGCTCCCCCCCTCTTGGACGCCCCTCTCTTGGCCGCCCCCGAGTTCAGCCACGCGCAGATCTAGGCCTCCCAGATGGGGTCGGAGTAGATTCAGGCGATCGCAAACATGGATCAAGGGGGCGTGGACTAGCGACGGGTCCCGTTTCCAGGGGAAATCGCGGACTTCCGCCCCCGATAGATGGGGTCGGAGGATCGCGCAGCATCGCCGATGCGGAGCCCGACTTTCCCCGCGCCGACGTCGCCGGTGCATCGCCAACATCGCCGATGCATCGACGATGCATTGCCGATAAATCGCCGATGCGTTGGCGATGCGGCGCGATCCTCCGACCCCATCTACTCGGACCCCATCTAGGAGGCCTCTAGCAGCGGTTCGGTAGCAAATCATGGGAACCTGGTGCGCCCTTCTCATTTTGGATTTCGCGTCGACTGGCGTCGATTGGCGTCTGGGAGTCACTGAGATGGCGCCGACTTAGCGTCGGCTAGCGTCGATTAGCGTCGCTTTAGCGTCGATGAGCGTCGATTCGCAAGAGCCGACAATATGGCACGGGAGGCTCCCACGAGTTGCCACCGAACAGAGGCGGGCATGGGGGAGGGGGGAAGCTTCTCAGAAGCTTCCCTGCTTCAGCCTCCTTATTAAAAGCTGTTCCCCCCTCCCCCTACAGTGGAGACCAGTCCACAAGAAACTTTCCACAAGAAACCCAACCCTTGAGACCCCAGGTCGTTCATTGATTTTTGGTGTGGGAGCGTCGCGCTTCCCATGGCGAAACCATCGAAACCCAAGAAACCCAGGGACCCAGGGCACCATGGAGGCAAGCAGGTTGTTGCGTGGCATGGGCCCCCGCTGTACCCTCTTCGTGAGCGCCGCCACAGCTACGCTCGCGCCCCCACGTCGGCCCCCCCCCCCCCGGAGATGGACCGCTTCGTCGCCGGCCTGGGCCGCGATGCCAGAAGTCCTGGGCGCCCACTCCCGCCCCCCCCGAGGTGCCCCCCCCCCCCCCCCCCTACAGTCGAAACATATTGTCCTCCTCCTTCTCCTCCTCTTCTTCCTCCCTGAGGTGCCCCACCCCTACAGTCGAAGCGGATTGTCCTCCTCCTCTTCCTCTTCCTTTTCCTCCCCTTCCTCCTCTTCCTCCTCCTTCTCCTCCCCCTCTTCCTCCTGCTCGCGGGGCTATCCGACGGACGGCCGGGCCTCGCTGGTTCCCCCATAGAACCTTTGTGTCCGTTCTGGAGTTGGGAAAAGGGGTATGACGTAAAGGGGTGTGGTGTCAATTGTGTTAATTTGAGTTGAAGGGGACTCTGGCGATGTGATCCATCGCAGATAGCATCGCCATTTCCACGACTGGCACCGTACCCCTTTATGCAACATCCCTTTCCGACCTCCAGATTCGTGCCTCTTTTGTCCATATTTGACTACTTTCGATGGCCCGCCGCGCTCGGAAAACTTCGACGCGAGCGGGCATCCAAGGGGCTGGCGTCTTGCGTCCGCCTCCTTGCTCTTGCCTCCCGCCTCTCTCTGGCTGCTTCCTGCTTGCGTCCTGCCTCGCTTTCCTACGGCGCTGGCCTGGTGCCTCCCATTTCCTCCCTGGGTGCCCCGATAACGTCGCCATTTTCATGCGCATCTGGAAGATCCCGCGGAGTTGGCTCCCCTCGCAGACCCAAGCGGCTCGTCCTCGGCCTCGTCCTCCTCGGCTTCCTCCTCCTCGGCCAACCCCTGCTGCTCGCCCTTCCCCTCCTCGAATTCACTCCTCGATCCTCGGTCTTCCTTGTCGAATCCCCTCCTCGAATCCCCACCATCTCCTCCTCCTCCTCCTCCTCCTCCTCCTCCTCCTCCTCGTCGTCATCATCATCATCATCATCATCATCATCATCAACAACATTATCATCATCATCATCATCTTCATCATCTTCATCATCATCATCATCATCCTCATCCTCATCCTCATCCTCATCCTCATCCTCCTCATCATCCTCATCCTCCTCCCTCTTCTCCTCCTCCCTCTCCTCCTCTTCCTCCTCATCATCCTTCTCCTCCTCCTCCTCCTCCTCCTCCTCCTCCTCCTCCTCCCTCCTCTCCTCCTCCTCCTCCTCCTCCCCCCTCCTCCTCCCCCTCCTCCTCCTCCTCCTCCTCCTCCTCCTCCTCCTCCTCCTCCTTCTCCTTCTCCTCCTCCTCCTCCTCCTCCTTGACTTCGGCGTCCCGAGGGCGGAGTGGGGCAGTGCCGCGCCGTGCCGTGGTGCCGTGCCGTCACGTAGCGCCGTGAGTGCCGTGCCGTCACGCGCGGGGAGTGACAGTGCCGCGCCGTGCTGTGGTTGTCGTGCCGTCGCGCAGTACCGCTGGTGCCGTGCCGTCACGCAGTGCCGTCGCGCCGCGCCGCTGTGCCGCGCCGTCGTGTGTGGGTTGGCTGTGCGCTGGCCTGGCGGTCCGCCTGGCTGGGGCAGGGTGCAAGTACACGACAGGCATCCAGTCCAGGGTGGTGGCCGAGCGCCGCTTGGCCGCCGACGGGGTCGGTCCCCCGCCCGCCCGTCCTGGGGTTGTGGCCTGGTTGGGCGGTCCTCCTCCTCCTCCTGTCCTCCTCCTCCTCCTCTTTCTCCTCCTCCCCCTCCTCCTCCTCCTTCTCCTCCTCCTCCTCCTCCTCTTTGTCCTCTTTCTCCTTCTCCTGCTCCTGCTCCTGCTCCTGCTCCTCCTCGTCGTTTCTGCGTTGAGCGGACGTCAATCCACGAGGTTGTATCGCTGGTCCCCCTCACCCGAGTCCCCCCTCTCTCCCCGAGTCCCCTCGATCCGCGATCCGCCAGTGGAGTCCCCTCCGAGGCCCTGCCCACCACCCGAGGCGTCGCGCCGCGTCCCGGGCGACCTCGGGCCTCCGCAGGAGAGCTGCGGCTGCCGCGTGGTGCAGAAGGCCGGCGCCCTGGGCCCGGGCCTTTGGGCTCTCTCGGCCTAAGGGCTCTTACGTCCGGGAGCGGCAAAGAGGGGGGTGATGACTAGGGGGGGGTGGATTTCATGGCGCGGGCCATGATTTTTCCTCAGATTTCATGGCGCCTCTTCTTACTTCATTACGTCCCAGGCCCCCCTGCTGGGCCGCGCACATGCCGCCGGTCATGATTTGCACCCCCCCCTCTTGGACACCCCCCTCTTGGCCGCTCCCGATACGTGGGAGGGAAAGTCGCCAGTCGAATCGGGGAACAGCTACATGATCGAGTTGCTCCAGTATCGATCTCCCGCCGGGCAGACAAGGCACGCGTAGAATGGTCGCAGATTCGCGGGGCATTAGGCACATTAGTTCGTAGATTCGGCGGGGTAAGAAGTTTTGGGATAAATCAATTATGTAGTCGATCCCCTATTCGAGCCATGGGGGAAGCGGGTCCTGAGGGAAACGGTTTCTGAGGTTTTTGTGCGTTGTCGGGCTCTCGGGGCCTCCCACGGGTACCGGGACTGTCAGGAAAGGACTCAGGAAGAAAAGCTCGTTCTGGGGGAAGGCCCCAGAGTCCAGGACCCGTTTCCTTGAGGACCCGCTTCTCCCATGCTGAGAAAAGGCACCCATACACTTACCCTTCGCCCGTGTTCCCCTACTTCTGTTGGGCCTCTTGGGAAGCCCTCGTCGCCACCGCTGGATGATTCGCCCCGAGATTCTTTCTGGTCAGAACGCCCCCCCCCCCCGAGGGGTCTGGGGAGTGGCGGCATCGGTAGCTTTAGGTTGCCCATTCTCGGAGTCGGGGCTCCATCGCCGTGGGAGGAGCGGGTCCTGAAATCGCAGGCCTAGAGGTTGACACCAACACCAAGATCGGCGGTGTGCCTCCACCGAGGGAAGAGGATCCCGATCTCGGTGATGGTGGTAATACTCTGGCTTCCAAGGTGACCGAAATATTGCCACCAACACCGAAATCTAGGATCATCTTCCCCATGTGGAGGCAACTTCCTGTGTTGGTGTTGGTGCCAATTTCTAGGCCTCCAATGAAAGAATCGGGTCCTGAGGCTTGTCGCCGGTTTCGGGCCCTCGGGGCCCTCCACTGGCCCCAGGGCCGTCAGAGAACGACTCGGGGCGCACAGCTCGCTCTGGGGAAGGCCCCGCGCCGGGGCCCGGCCGAGGGCTGCCGAACGAGCGCCGGAGGGCTTCTAAGGGGGGGGGGGCGATGAGCGAGGGGGGCAGCGAGGGCTGCCGACAAGGAGCCCTTCAAGGCCCAGAAGGGGGCCCTGAGGGCCCGAGACGGCCACCTTTCTCCCCCCCCCCCCCCCACGTGTCGCCCCCCTCTGAAGGCGCAAGAGCGCGGGCCGAGGTGTTTCCTGTCTGCGTTTTCGGGGCGGGCTGGGGCTGCTCCGCGAGCGCCGAGAGGGTTCCGAGGCCGAGGCCTTCCTCCTCCTCCTCCTCCTCCTCCTCCTCCTCCTCCTCCTCCTCCTCCTCCTCCTCCTCCTCCTCCTCCTCCTCCTCCTCCTCTCCTCCTCCTGGAGACATTTGGACGCGAATTGATAAAGGGGCGATGGACTGGGGTGAAGAAAGGTGCTCTTTCTCGGGCCCTGAGGGCCCTCTCTGGGGCCTTGGAGGGCTCCTTCTCTGCAGCTCTCGCATTTCGTGGTTTGACTATAGGAATGCCGGGACGGTCGGTCCCTGCTCAACCCACTTCATCGCAGCCCCCCATCAAGTCGCGCCCAGGACATGCGTCGCTCGGCGCCTCAGAATCGGGTCCGCCCATGGTCAAGAGGTTGAAATACCGAAGCAGAGCCCACGCTGGAGTCAGGAGGGGCTCTGGTTATTCGGGCCGTTCCCTAGAGCTAGATCGGGGTACCTGTTCTTGGCCGAGGCTGGGCCGCAACCAGAAACGCCCCTTAGTTCCTCATGTGGCGTTTCTTCTGGTAACACGATGACTGTAGGGTGAACCGTCATAGTTTTGGAGGGACGCTCTTCAGTTCTTCGCAAATGGGCTCTTTACTTTGGAGTGTTTTTTTGGTCTTGGATATCCATATATGGGGCATTTGGCTTTCGGCGAAGGCGCCCATGCTCTTGATCCACGGTTCGTGACCGCGTTCCGTGACCTTGCTGCGACTGTACGCCCTCCTGGCTGGGCCAGGGAGGCCTGTGCACCGCCCTGGGGCCCAGGTTGGGCCCGGCCAGGACGGGTGCACGTGAAGACCCCTCCTTCCCCTGCAGGGTTAACTCCTTTGGAGGACACTCGTCGGCGGCCTTCCCTGGCGCTGTTCGTTTTTCTCTGCCTCCCGGAGGATCCTCGTCGCCGCGTCCGGGTTCGCCTCGGAATATTGGTCAAGAGGCTGTTGGTAGTTTTCTACGTGTTCTACGGTGTCGAAGGTTTCCGAAACCCAAGGTGGTTTCTATCAGCTGCGCCCCATCGCGGGCTTGCTGGAGGTGCTGGGGTTGTTCTCAACGACCGTTGGAGGTCAGTTATCGAAGACGCCTACTCGGCCACACGCAGAATGGGGGTAGGGGGAGGGGGAATGCTTCTTCAAAGAACACCTGGTTTCTTAGAAGACGCGGGCCTTATCTGCAGATACAGGGGCGGTGCCTGCTCAGGAGCAGCCTCTTTCTAAGGTGCCATTTGGAAGCCTTACCCCTACCCCCACCCCCTTGTGCGCGCCGCCAACCTACGGCGAATCACCGCTGCCCCCTGCCTTTTGGAATCGCCCACGTGGCCGAATTTTTTGGCCAGAGCTCTGCCAAGCTATTTCACCATGTGTTTCGCCAAACGTTGTGGAAACCCTTCGGGGAACGCGCGTGGGATAAGCGGAGGAGATGGAGGAATACTGGAGAGGAGGAGGAGGAGGAGGAGGAGGAGGAGGAGGAGGAGGAGGAGGAGGAGGCCTCTTGGGAGCCTGTTTGGACAACCTTGGGGCCTCCGCCTCTTGGAGGCTTCTTGGGAGACTCCTTGGGCCTGTTGGGGGCTTATTGGGGGCCTCTTTGGCCGTCTTAGAACGTACCTGGCCCGTCTGACGCCGTCGGAAGCAGTTTTCGATGCCTCTCTGAACCCACTTGGGGCCCCCTTGGGGCGCTTCAGGGCCGCCTTGGAGGCCATGTCGGGCGTCTCGGAGACCTCTTGGGCCGTCTTCGGGCCCTCTTGTGGCCGTTTTGGAGGCTCATTGGGCCGTTATGGGGTCATCTTGGAGGCCTTTGAAGCCATCTTGGCGCGGTTTTGGGGGCCTCTTGGGCCGTCTGGGGCCGTCGGAAGTCCGAAAAGTAGCAAATGCCAACATCCCCACGGAAAATCAATGATGTTGGCCTCTTCGGGCCCTCCTGAAGGACCTCTAGGAGGCCTCTCGGGCCGTCTTGGAGGCCTCTTGGAGGCCTCTTGGAGGCCTCATGGCCTTCTTGGATCGATTTGGAGGCTTCTTAGGCGAACTTGGAGGCATCTTGGACTCTCTTGGGCCGTCGTGGAGGCCATCTTGGACCCTTTTGGGCGAACTTGAAGGCCATCTTGGCCGTCTTGGAGGCCATCTTGGAGCCATCTGGAACCGGGAACGCCTTTGCAACCGGGTCTTCCGGGTGGCCGGCGCGCTGGGCCCAAGCCCCAGGAGGAGTCTTAAGATAACTAAGCACCTACTGAACTTCAACACGCCAGGCACCCCTGTGATAAATCAATGGGGGGCGACGGATCGAAGACGCCTACGGCGAACCACCGCCGCCCCCTGCCTTCTGGAGTCGCCCCTGTGGCCGAGTGTTGTGGCCAGAGCTCTGCCAAGCTATCGGACCATGTGTTCCCGCCACCGTTGTGGAAACCTTTCGGGTAACACTTTGGGGAGGATGGCGGGGAAGATAAGGACGAGGCGGAGGAGGAGGTGGAGAAGGAGGAGGAGGAGGAGGAGGGGACATCTTGGGAGCCGATGGGGACACCCTTGGGGCCTCCTGGGAACTTCCTGGGAGCCTCTTGGGGGCCTTCTTGGGCCTCTTGGGGGCCTGGGGGCCTCTTTAGCAGTTTTGGTGGGCTCCTGGTCCTCGGAAGCCGTCTTGGGGGCCTCTCTGGGCCGGCTTGGGGCCCTCTTGGGATGCTCCAGGGCCGTCTCGGAGGCCATCTTGGGCGTCTTGGAGGCCTTTTGGGCCGTCTTTGGGCCGTCTTGGGGGCCACTTGGGCCGTTCTGGGGTCATCTTGGAGGCCTCTTGGGCGATCTTGGAGCGATCTTTGGGGGATCTTGGGCCGTCGGAAGGCCGTCGGAACGCCGAAAAGAAACAAATGTCACAATCCGTCAAAAACCTATGGTTGTGCGGGTACTTTAATGACAATGTGAACGTTGGGCTCCAAGATTATGTTCGGGCTCTCGGTGACAGCTCACTGGCCGCCATAGCAGGACAGGTGGCGTACCCTCGTCCACCTCCGCGCCCACCGTGTGAGCTGCATTGTGGCGAATCGATGGTGTGTCCTGCTTGCGAGGTGGAGTGCGGAGACGTGCCCCACGTAAGTTGTCCTAACCTGGAGTACCCAGCAGTGTCTGTTGTCTGCCCAGCCGCTGCACCTTGTGAGGGGCAAGCGGCCCCAGGAGCTCGTATCTATGAAGTGCTGGGACGTGTGGTGGTTGGATCGACTACCGCTCTGATCGGTCAGTGGGCTACTGGCCGTGGACTGCAACTTGCCGTTGTGTTTGTTGCATGTTGTTCGTATGTGTTTGTTTGCATGTGCGCTTGCTTGCTTGTTTGCTTGCAGGTGTGATTGTTGCATAATTGCGCGCGCATGCCTGTGTCTCATGGGGCGGGAGGCTCCCAGCTCCGCGTGCCAGAATCTCTCCGGCACTCTCCGTGCGATGAAGATCTGAATATTCGCCTGCAAAACAAACGCTGTGCAACATGAATATGCGCGGGAACGGTTGGTCCGCCGAAGCCGCCTTCAACCAACGCTTTGAATGGGATTGCGAATCAGGTATGCGTGCTAGCGACATCCACATGTTCCAGTCTATTCCCATGCCACCGCAAAACCATTGCCCGGCTAGCTGGGCCAAGAAAAAAATCAAATTGGGATCGCATCAATGTGTTCTCTCGTCGTCGTCGTCGTCCTCCTCCTCCTCCTCCTCCCCCTCTGCTCCTTCTCCTCCCCGCCACTGCCGCCGCCACCGTCGCTCCCCTCCAATCCCTTGCCGTCGTCGTCATCGTCCTCCTCCTACTGCTCCTCCTTACCCTGTTCCTCCTCCTCGCCCTCCCCGCGTTCATCCTCCCCCTCACCGCAACCGCCGCGGACGCCGTTCCCTCCCCCCCATCACCACAAAATCATCGCCTGGCTCGGCTAGCCAGGCAAAAGAAAAATAAAACCAGGATCGCATTAATGTGTCTTCTCGTCGTCGTCGTTGCCCTCTATGTTTATATAGCTTGAGTTCGCACAATGCACAGTTGTCATACGATGTTCTCCGTATACTAGATGATACAATGCGTGGAACATGTTTGGTTTTGGGATGATGATGATGATGATGATGATGATGTTGTTGATGATGATGATGCCGATGACGATGACGATGACGATGATGATGATGATGATGATGATGATGATGATGATGATGATGATGATGATGATGATGATGATGATGATGATGATGATGATGATGATGTTGATGCTCATGCTGATGCTGATGATGCTGATGATGATGATGATGAGGAGGAGGAGGAGGAGGAGGACGATGAGGAGGAGGAGGGGGATGGGGGAGGGGGGGAGCAGGAGAACAGGAGGAGCAGGAGGAGGATGAGGAGGAGGAGGGTCCGCAGAAAATCAAATTCCTCGCGCGCAGAAATTCCAGCTGCCAACCGCCAAGTCTCAGCCGTCCCCCGCCCCCGCCCGGCCGCCAGAGGCCATCCACCACCTCCAGCGCGAGACGCAGTTGGTGATCGCCAAGGAGCTGGAGAAGGACCTCCTCCTCCTGGTTTCCTCCTCCTCCTCGTCCTCCTCTTGTTTTTCATCGTCGTCCTCCTCCTCCTCCAGCCGTTTTGCGCTATATAGCGTTGCTGGCACTCGATTCAAAACGGCACCCAGTGTCAGCGGGCCAATTTGATCGGAACCTTTTTTCCCAGTCTTTCATGTGGCGCCATGGTGGCAACGGCGGCGGTGGCGAAGGCCAAAGGGACTCCCTCTGGCGAGGGTACCTGGCGTAGCACGGCGGCGGCAAGGGCGGCGGAGGCAGTTCAGGCGGAGAGCTGTAAGGGTGCTGGGAGTGTGTGTGTGTGTGTGTTGTGTGGGTGTGGCAAGACGCCGGTCATAGCAGCCCACTGCAAGCACAGCGGCGCTCAAAGGCAGTCAGTCCTCTGCCCCTGCTCACCCGCCTGATCCTCGCGGTGAATGGTCTCGCCCATGCGGGCAGCATTTGGCTCCAGGCCCCGTCGCGCTTGGCACTTGGCCAGCTCTCCTGCTGGTCCTCTTCCATTAACGGGGCTGTCCGCGGAGATACTGGTGCTACAGGTGGGAGTGCGTCAGGCCTTGTGGGGTCGACCGAGTTGCAGATGCTGGGCTCTCTCGCGGAGCGTGGCGGGGGCGACGAGACCGCGCAAACATACCAGTCCAAGATCGACGCTCGCACTGCGGAGTCCAAGCCAGCCCCGAAGCCGCTCGAACATCAAGCGTTTGACCTCCATCGCGAGATCACGAAGCTGGACGGTCAGATGGAGACGGGGCTTGCTAAATACACTTGAGGACACGCGCAAGCGGGATATCTTGTTACGCGACCTGTCCGGCAAGTTCAAGGTCCTCATCGAGCAGCACCATCCCTTGGTCGCCAAGTTGCACAGTGAGGCTGCTCCGTCTGAGCAGGCCCGCCCAAGCTGCTGCGAGTTCAGGCCCTGCGCTGTCTCTGCGAGACTTCGTGGCGGGCGAAGTTGCGGACGTCACCGTCGATGACGGTGGACGCTTCAGCGATCTCCATGTCGAGAGGCGCCGTGCTCAGTTCAAGGAACACATCGCGGGCGCGGCCGAGCAGCTCTTCGAGGGCGCAGTGGCCAGAGCTGAGGATGTCGAGAAGAAACCTGAGCAGCACCTCGAGAGGATGGCTGGCAAGCGGCGCCGTGGCCCTGAGGGGGGCCTTCCCGGTGGCGCAGCGGGAGGTGGCGAAGGGGCCGCTGCGGTGGACTCGCCCAGCGTCGCAGGGGGCAACTCGGTCGAGGCGGCCGCGGCCATCCCTGGCGCTGCGGCAGCAGATCGTGCACGTGCTGAAGTTGAGCGCGTTGCTCAACGGTTTCACGGCATTGCGGAAGCAGGCGGCGGCCCCCCCGAGCAGGCGGCCCCCCGCCCCCCCCCCCTCGGCGGCCCCCATGCTCAAAGCGGGGTTGTGTCAAACGGCATCCGCTGAGAACCAAGGGCTGCGCGCCCGAGCGTTCTTTCTGTTGCAAGCCGCCAGCTTTCTGGCGGAGAGCGGGCTTTCTTTTCACCGCCTCCCTCAATCGCGCCCGATTCAGTCTCGTAGGTGCGCTCTGAACGCCGCGCGCCGAGGGCGCCCTCGGCGCGCGACGGCGGTCGCCTCGCCGCGGCCTCGCGAGCTGGACAGGTGATAGGCCGCCTTAGTTTTGCGGGCTGTCAGCGCCCGCCGAGGGGCCCCCTGCCCCCCCCCCCCCGCCCCCCAGAGGCCGAGTCGTTTCGCCTGGGCGTCGTCTCCGTGAACGGCAACATCTGGGGTTCGGTGAAGGACTGGCTCCCAATCTCTAGCGCTGAGGCTAGATCGTGCTTCCGTTTCCTGTCTGAACCTTGGTCTTAAGAGTTAATAGGCCCCGGCGACTGCAGACGCACGAGGGGGCCCGTCGGCCGGTTTTGCTATTTTGCGCAGGCAGATTCTGGAGCTCCGCCCTCCCAACTCTGGCGCGGTCGCGATGACCCACAGGGTTATTGCGGCCGAAACTCACGCCCCGCAGGGCGAAGTGTTCCTGGTTTGCCCAGGGCACCTTGAGGACTCTGAAGGGCTCTCGGAAGCGAATCTCAAAACCCTGTCGGCTGCTGGGGCTCCGGGTTCCACGCGCGGCGAACCCGTCTTGGCCGGAGGGGGCCGGGACGCGGGGCCTCCCGCTCTCTCGGACTCGAATTCTTTCAGCTCGCTCATTGGCCGGGCCATCTGCGCGGGGAAAACTACGCGTCGCGCTGGATCTGGGAAAGTGTGTGATTCTTGCATCCAGTCGCCGGGGTTGTCGACGGCCGTCAGTGGGATCGCTGCCGAAGTGGGCACCGGTTTCTCCAGTCACCTTTCTGTCGCTTTGACGTTCCACGCTGGGATGGCCAAGCGGTGCAACCTCGCCCTCGGGAAGCCGCCTTCGACGCCCTCAGCGCCGCCGTTCAGACAACGGCCGTCGCCTCTTGGTTTCGAACGAGTGGAGTCGCAGTTGGGCGCCGCGCTGATCAGGGCCCGTCGCGGAGTCGACGTGGTCATGACCTCCATGCTCTTCAGCGAGGCGCGCGCCTCCTGGGCTGGCTTGGCAGAGCGGGGCTGGCGGGAAATTTCGGGGTCGAAATGCTTTCGTTCGGGGGGTCGATGGGGAAAGGGTCGATCGCCCACTGGAGGCCGATCCTTGGGAAGCATAGAGGTTGCGCTAGGTTGCCCCCAGCTTTGCGCCTGCCGCTGGGCCGCGAGTTCTTACAAAGGTTTTTAACGGAGCCGTTCAGCGCACGGAGTGGCTTCAGGCTCGAGATGCGGCCCGGACCCACTCGGCGCCCCCCCCCCCCCCCGAGCGAGTGCGAGACCAAGTCTGACGCGGGGCCCGGAGAAGCTGCCCCCCCCCCCCCCTGCCCTGATGCCCCTCTCTGGTTTTCCCGTGCCTCCTGGACAAAGTTGCCGAGTTTGCCTCGCGCTGCCTCGGGGGAATTCTCTTGGGTAGTATGGCGCAGGATTGGGCCGTGGGCCGATAATCTCACCGGTCTGGTTGCCGAGTTCGCCGGCGAGTTCTCGGATCTACACGCTGCGCAGGCTCGCGAGGATTGGGCTGGCTGGCTGACGGAGTCGGCGGGTCAAGGAGGGGAGTTCATCCTTTCGCGAAGGATCCGCAGGCCTGGAAGGCTAGCGCGACGCTCAGTTCCGCGGGCTGCGTGGTGCCCGACCCGGATCCCTCTTTGGCCGACGAGACCCGCCGTTTCAGAGTTCTGCGGGAGGCGATCGTATACAGGTGTTTGTCAAGCAAGCTGGGGTTGTGAATGACCCCCCCTCTCGTCCGCGTCGACAAGATTCGCGGGTTTTCGAAGACCTTCGCTCATCGGTCGGCGATCGGGCTTGGCTGTTTCCACCTGCGACGTCTTGCGCCCTGTAGGACGGGGCCATGGCGGCCCTTCCGAGGTAGTTCTCGTTGGCGGAGTTGATTGGGATGTTGCCTGCCCAAATCCTTGCTGTCATCATTGTGGTGATGCCTAAGCACTCGTCTGATTTCCGCCCGATTGGAGCCCCCCTCTCGTCGCCTCTGGGGCAGGTGCCGCCGCAGCTTCGCGGCGCAGTGGGAGACGGCCAACCGGCGAGTCCGTTGGGCTGCTGGTCAAGACAAGTCGGCCAGCGACGCGGCATGGAGACGGGATGCCCGTTCGGAGAGAGCGCGCAGTCAACCGGGCCACGTCAGTGCCCGTATGGGATTCCAGTAAGTATTACGAGCGCATCCCCCATGGGGCCTTGGCCCTGAGGCGCCACCAGCGCAGCTTCTCTGCCCCCCTCGCCTCGATCTGTATTGCTGGGTAGAGGTCTGCTACGTTCGTGGTGCTCGGAGGGGTCGTGGCTTGTCCTATGCATGCCCGAGTGAGTATCATCGCGGGGCGCAGCCTTGCGACTACCATCATCAAGGTGTTTGCTCGGGACGCCTTCGACAGTTTAGCTGTTTCCTAGGAGTGTGTCCTTTGACGCCTACGTCGGCGATGTGGGGCTCAATTCGACTGGGTGGATCCGCGCCATGAGCCGTGACCTTCCCGCGGCCGTACTGCAGCTGCAAAAGGGTATCTCGGACGCGCTCCATGCCGACATTTCCTTGTATCAGATTAGGCTGATCTCGTCGTCAAAGGAGATCCCCAGCCACGTCCAGAAACGATTGGGGCACCTTGGAGGAGCTCACGCTGAGTCGACCATGAGCCTCGGACTTGATGGCACGGTCGGCGGTGCTGCGCGTGTTCGCGGGCGCAATGCCCGTGCTAAGGCGAGGCCTGTCACGGCGAAGCGCCGAGTGCGCCGCCTGGCCTTCCAGCGCGCTGTCCTGGGGCGCAGGGGCATCGCAGTTTGCGTTGCGGGGCCCGTGCCAGGAATTACCAATGGCAGCGAGGTCCACGCGCGCATTGGCGGCGAACTTTTCATTGCTTCGGGGGCTGCGCGCGGCCGCGATGAAACCTACAGTCGGGGGGGGGGGGGATTTTGACCATTGGATCCAGGGTCGAGAGGGGGCCCTGCCTGGCTCGTGGCCGTCTCGTCGGGCGGTCGAAGGAGGTCTGGGTCAGGCGCGCTCGGACTACCGATGTTTCTTTTTCCTGGGCAGACCTCGGGGGCCTTTGGCAAGCGGGCCGCCCTCGTGCCTGGGCCTGGCGCACTGCGTTGGGGCCCATCGGGGCCCTGAAGCTGTCCCCCCTTAGGATCGGGCGGTCTATGCCGACACCGCTCATGCCCGCTAGTGACCCGGGGGCCCACCGCCCCCTCGCCCCCAGGGAGGGGATTCGGATGGGGTCTCGAGCGAGAGGCGGCCGCCAAGTATGGCAGGTTTGGGGCCCCGAATTTGTCGCTCGACGCTGCCATTTCTGCCGCGCGTTCCCAGGGGGGCGCGCTGTTCCACAGGCTTTCGGGAGTGCCTTAGCGTTGCTGTCGAGCGTGCTGCCATCGTCCCGCAGGAGCTTTCGCGAAGCATCCTGGTCTCCGTCGAGGAGGCTGGTGTGGGGGGGGGGGCCATTCGAGATTGCATCTGGACTTATGCGTCGCCC